CCTGTTGCTGCGCTACATTGAATTTGAAAGCTTGCATTACACAGAGCTAGCAAGGTGCACATTAAAGAGAGTAAGGACTGATTCACTGACAAAGCTCAGTGGGTAATGGAGAGATATAAGTGAACTGGGCTAATCCTACTGTGATCCTATAAGGATCTGCTCTTAGACTATATTTTTCTTTAAATCATCAGCCTACTGCTGGCATAATTTTTTGATGGTAAAATATGCAGATGAAACAGAGTTTGTCAGTGCCAGGAAAAAAAAATGATGCATTGCAGTTATACTGATCTGAAATCCCTCGGTGAAATGTTCACCAATCAACTAGCTATAAAGCAATTCCATTAGGAACCATGAATTCAAGTCAGGGGATAAAAAAACCTTTGTGGAAGTACTTAGGTTTCTTTGAGATATATGATAATATATATGAGATACTAGGACATGTTTAGCCTTGAAGCAAGGGTGTAATAAGATACAGTGGTAAAAAATGAAATTCTATAAATTCAGTCTTGAAACAAGGTGGTGTACTCCAACTGAGATAGTAGACTTGGGAACAGTTTACCAGTCATAGGAATTGATTCATCATTCCTTGGAGTCTTTGCTTTGACATTACCTTAGATTTTAAATTCAGGTTTGTGGTAAGGTCTTTAGACTGTGTATGGAGAAAGAAAGGAACCTCTCCTTTGGTTCTTAATGCTTTTAGTTATTTATCCTCTCTTGCATCTGTGGTGGAGACTAGCTGCAGCAGAAAGCAGCACAGGGATGGAGCAGGTCAGCTAGAGAACAGGCTTGATAGGGATGTAGCCTCCTCAGGGTCCCTTCAGCTCAGAGGTAGCTCCTGCCTCTCCCGTGCCCTGTGGCCAGCAGGAATGCTGAGGGATGCTGCAGCAAATTTGCCTGGTTAGATCCAAGACTCCTGGCTCTAGACAGTTGCTGGGGAATGCTCTGCCCTGCCTGCTTGCCTGGGTCTTGTTCTCTCCTGCAGCTGAGGACCAAAATATTTTGCTCTAAGCACTCTCTACTTTCCTTAGGAATATACTTTTGCAAAGACTTTTGCATTTCCTAACATCTTGAAATAGGCAGTTTCTTAAAAAAGGAAAAAAAAAAAAAAAAAAAAAAAAAAAGAGAGAGAGAGAGGGAGGGAAAGAAAGAAAGAAAAGAGAGCAATAACTCCCTCAAAGAAACCACATCTTTGGCAGTATTGTTTCTTTGGGTCATACAGTGCCTGATTCAGGGTCTTTGGGTTTTTGACTTTGGGTCTTTGACTTTGATGTTGGACCAGGACTGTACTTAGTTATTTTTCCTGCTCCAACTTAGACTATAGTGTGCTATTTAATTCTTTTAGTTTTCATAATTAATATCTAGTGTATGGGTTAAGAACTAGAAATATCTGCGAAAAGAGTTACTAGTAAGATTAATATATATTTTTAAAAATCATACTGTGCAGAATATCATCCAATATTAAATCTAGAATGAGAGTTTCTGGATACTTTACCAAAGCAAAACTTGAGTGATGATAGCCTTGTACAGGTATATTACTTATCCTGGAAGCATTTTCAGGCAGAGAATCTACTCTGTGATTCTACAGTATTTAACAGACTTGTGTTCTGACTTATATTTGGGTCTCAAACAGTTGCTTCAATATAAAGTTGGTCATAATATAATACAGGAAATTTCTCCTGCAGTAGAAGAGGTTAGAGTAGTTCTGATCGGGCAATTCATTAGGTGAAGGGCTTTTTTCATTTCTTCAGCTTACAAAACTAATTCTCATGCAGGAAATGCAACCCCAATCAACATTTTAACTAAAGGACAATACTAAAAGACATAAAAACAAGGTAGCTTGTCACTGATGCATTACATTCCCTGACAGCTGTCAGAAATATATAAACTACTGTTCTCCACTTGTCTTTACTTGGACTGCTTATGAAATTCATAAGCTCAGCCTCCTTCCTTGCTTGAGTCTCCACATTTTCCTCAGAGAACATTTAAAAAAAAAAAAGAAAAAAAGAAAAAAAGAAAGAAAAAGATAAAGAACAGTAGTCAGAGTACACCAGTTTCTTGTAATACATACAGAGAAGGGAGACGAGTTTAATTTGCACAGGACAAAGAATTTAATCACATAGTGATTTACTTTCTCATTCCTCTCCTGCTATCGGGCACAGGTCACCCCAGTGCTGGGTCACATCCAGCTTGCGTGGCAGCAGATGTGGCTGATATGACCCCTGCATTATCTGAGATTTAAGCAGCATAACCCATCTGGATGCACATCAGGATGGTAGTGATAGAAATGATCTTGCTACCGAGTAGGGACAGCAACAGCTCTCAAACACTGCAGGACGTGTCTTAAACAAGGGCCATGTTTTCCTTCCGATTTATGTAACTCACAATAATACTGCCTCATTTCAATAATGTTTCACAAAAATATTGAGAAGGTTTTGGAGAAACGTAAAGAAAATTAACAGCATTTCTCTGTAACCTCTAAGACTTCCAATAATCTATGAGATTCTTATAATTCTATCATTCCTAACATGCGTTTTTAACTTCTGTCTACCCTCAGGCCCACTCCTGCCATTTACCCTAAGAGACTCCTGCCTCTGCAGCCTGTTTCATCTAACAGGATCACCTAGTAAAGACATGCCCTCTGTCCCACTGCCTGTGTCTGTGCAAGGACTGACTAGAGATACAGGCCGAGTTTTGTGTGATGGGGAGTGAGTGGGAGACACCAGAGAGCCCCGAGGTCCTGTTGCCCATGTACCCAGCTCTGCATCCCTTTGCAGTCCCCCTGCCACCTCCTCTGCACTTGGAGAAACGTTTGTCTGGAAGTGGTTGACTTGGTTCCTCCTTGCAAAATCCAGTCCCGCCCATGACAGCGGACAGTGCCCTTGCCCACTGACAGAAGTGGCTGGAGCCACTGGCCACAAAAGTGGCTGGAGCAGCAGTGTGGTCGCTGGGTGTTTTCATTCTCATCTGGTAGTTACAGGCTTTAGCAGAAACAAATGTGTCTGTAAGAACTGTGGACATGCTCTTACAGAGAAACATATGATGTTATCTTTTTCCCCATAGTTTAATCCCTGCTCATATTGTTCCAATGCTGTCAAAAATAAGATGAGGTGAGACAGCACTACCTAATCTTTTGAATTTAACTTTGTGCTGCAGATAGCATAGATCTAAGCTTTTACCCAACTTTATAGACCAAGGCACTGTGAACTTCTGCCACCGGTCTGGATTGATGGTAAATGCTTGCAGCAGCATTGAGCCCATGGAGGTTATTTTGGTATTAGTGTTCCTTTGAAGTTCCTTTCATGCCTTTGAAAACCTAAAGAAAAAGGCTACTCCAACCCACTTACACTTTTCTTTCATTTTAATCATCGTTCCCACCCTGAGATCTGTGGGTGGTCACAACCACATTGTCCAAGGAGCTTGTACGTACACTCCCAATAAAAGCCTTGTCAGTAGATCTGCAGGAGCTAGTTCCCAAGGGTAACTTCCGACAGGGAACATCCCTCTCCCTCCCCCGGCCTCGCGCTGGAGCTCTGCGCAGCCGGGGGCTCCGCTGCGAGCTCCCGGGCTGCGATGCTAGCGCAGAGCTATCCAGCAGCACAACAGCCTCCTGCCGGGTGGCCTCCCAAACACGTGTCCCGCTTGGTTTCCGCATGGATCCTAATACCACAGTCGTGTGAGAGTAGCATCTTTCCCCGTGAATATTCCTTCTCATTTCCAAACAACTGGAAATGTGCAGTCTCACAGTTTTTTAGTGTGACTACAACCGTGGGAATTTGGCAAATAGAGAAGTTAAATGCCGAAGTATGCAGGCATTTCCCCTGGGTCCTTTACTAGCCATGTACTTAAAGTCATATCTCTCGTAGCAGCTTAAGGAGCAGTTGATTGTACAAGATGGATTTTATTAACTCTAAGGCAGCTGTTGACAAATAAAGTGGAGAGTAAATAAATGCCTCCACACTGCCTCAGGGACACGATAGCTTACAGTTAGATTTGAAGGTGAGGAAAAAGCATCTTAAAAGTTATCCCAGATTTGTCTGCACATGACACAACTGATCAATTTTAAACTCAAATGACACCTAGCAAGCTCTTAAATTTAACAGTCAAAAAGCTTAGGTAGATCTGGATTTGGGCATGCAGAGTTTATTGATTTCTATCTGTTTTTAATTTGTCTTCCAGACACTGGAATATGAAATCTGTGGGACTGTGGGTGAGTCTTGTAAACTTTATTAATTAAATAGCATTTCATTTCATGCATAGTTCTGCTGAAAAAAAAATCATAAAGCCTATACTTCTGTTTCCATGATGTGCTTTGAGGCCATTTGTTTCATAGGATGCATCAGACCGATTTATTATGCAGCACTTGCTCAAATGTATTTCAGAACTAGTGATGATTCACCAGAGATAGCTACATGCAGCTTGTAAAAGGAGGAAAAAGTAAATACAGTACCTATGTGAACAGTTTGGTAAGCTAAGAAAAATGCATTTTTTTTCCACAAGTGTAATATAGGAGAAAAAAAATCATATTTGAAGTACTTGCAAGAAAACGTCTTGTGCTTAAACAGCACCTTGCTTTGCATCTGTTAAACAGAAGTGTAAAGATTTTGATTTTTGATATTTAGAGTTTTATAGAAACACTAGTTAAAATGTGTAATTTAAGAGGACAAACTAATTACCAGAGAAAGAAAGGGAAGGGACATAGAGTTTTTTTTTCCATGAGTGTTAAACAGTGAAGATCTTACCACACGATCAGCATGTTACTAAATTGAACTAATGATGCTATGGAAAAAGTTCTGCCTCGAGCTTCTGAAACACGGTTAAAAACTGAGCAATCTTCCATTGATCTATTTTAGATACTTGTATTAAAATAGGATTATAGCTTGTCAAGCCCATGCAAATACAAGCCGGTTAATAACTTTTCTCTCATCCTGCCCTGCCTGTAGCAGAAATGTGGATTAAACCCTGTCACTAGCAGCGGGAGAAGCCAGGTACGTGGTACTTACGGTCCTTGAAGGCGAGCGCAGGGTCCCTGTGCGGGAGCGCCCGGGCGATGATGCCTTGCAGGGACTCCCAGGTGCTGTCCATGGCGCGGCCAGGTGCGCGCCCGCCCGCGGCTCCCGCGGCCCCCGCAGCCCCCGCGGCTCCCGCAGCCCCCACAGCCCCTGCGGCTCC